CCTGCAGTGCTGCTGGGGCACAGCAGTCCATGCCTTCATTTCACAAGCTGGTCAACAAACAACGATCTTGACTAAAATCACTATCAATTTATTAACAGTTCAGAACCACAAATGGATCACTGGCAGGTTAACAACAGGTCTTTAACACCAAATCATTATAGATTTCAAAGTAATTTCGTATATATCATTTGTTTTATAAACCAGCAATTATTTACCTTAATTGCTAAATTATTTGATTCTGTAGCTCCACTGGTAAAAATAATCTCTCTAGGATCTGCTCCTATCAACGACGCAACTTGCTGTTTAAAGAGAAAGAAAAATATGATATCCTACTTTAAGAATGAGAAGGGGTTCATCACAAACAGAATACGCACAGCATCTCCACCACTCCAATACTAGCCCAGCCTGGACAGGGTAGATAGATTCTATCTTAAGAAATGACATTGCACTTGTATACTTCCTCGTCTAGTGTGGCGGGGGGTTTGCATAGGCTATCTGCATTCAAGACTATTACTTGTGAACATAAATCCTCGTGAAAAGAAGGGGAAAATGCAAGAAACATTCAGTGTATTCAATATGTCCCAGAGGCAACCAAAATACAGCCCTAAACTTTCACAGCAAGGCAAAAATCCATTGACCTAGAATGTGAAAACAGTAGTTACTGAAATGGCAGATACATGCCTGAGAGGGAGGTTTTCAAAGGCGCCATAGGGATTTATGACAAGTGCCATTTGCTTTCAAACCCCCGAGCAGCTTTGGAAAGCCTCACTTCACCCCCAAGTCATTTAATTCTACCACTTAAATTGCTTTAGTATAAAACATGTTTCATTTTGAGTTTGCCAAACTAGACCTCACATGGGAAACACTTATGCTGCTAGAGATCAAGTTACCAAGTCTCACCTACTAGGAGCTACACCAGAAAGATGGGGATTGGCGCACGTAAACTTAGACAGGCTCTGAGAAGCCTCACCTGCCTGGCTCGTTCCATAGCAGACTCACTCTCCCAGCCATAGGCATGAGTCCTGGAATGGGGGTTGCCATAGTAGTGCATTAGATAAGGGAGCATGCTGTCCAGAACTCTGGGGTCCTAGAAGACAAGAAGCAATTGTTAAAAGCAGTTTGTTGTTCCTCCTCCTTTCCCCTGCAATAGATAAGCCAGAGGAGGGGAACCTACAGCCTGCAGGCCAGATCTGGTCCCTGGCTTTACTTGGTCTGGCCCGCAGTGAAGCTGACTCAGGGCCCACACCCATACCAGCAGGGCAAGCCAGTGATAGCACTCCAGCCCTGCTGCAAGTCTCCCTGCCTCAGCACCACCTTTGGGACTGGAGCACTAGCACTGGCTCGCCCACGGCAGTGGGAAGGGAAGCCCAAAGCCTTGCCTAGGGCAGGATCAAGGGAAGCCAGGGGCCAGATCTGGGCCCACAGAGATGGCGCGTAAGAGAGTCCTGACATCCTGAGTGTGTCTAGGAGTCTTTCCACCCTGAGGTCAGTGAGGGGTTTGGTTTTGTTTGTTGGTTGTTTCTCCAGGGCCAGGCCCCTGAGGGGTTTGTTTTCTTTGTTATTGACTCTTCTTACAAGTCTATGACCCCTGAATGATTTTTCTTTGGATCAGTGGCTCTCAACCAAAAAAAGGTTCCCCGCCCTTGACATATGTGTCACTTTATCCCAGGCCAGCTGCCAGCGTATTCCAAACTACTGTGAATGCACAAACATTTTGCATATGCTCTGTATTAACCTATCCAGTGAGCAGCAAACAATTCTGAAACATTTTATGTTTTATCTAAGATGGCTCTTCATCGCTGCAGATTTATTTAATTCAAATGACATGATTAGACAGTACTTGATGATAGCCACCACCATAAGGTGCATTTATTTTACCTTTTCCCCAGGAATATTAAGAGGTTTCTAATTATTAACCCTCACAATATCTAAATGTTGATGAAAGACATTCTGGCCATAATACATTTATGCTGAAGGAAGAAGACTGGACTTTCAGACAAAGACCCACTTCTCAACTGTTACTGAGGTACAACGTTAGAATTTTAGTTGCATACTACCCTAAAGCTGGTTTGATGCAGCACTGAATAGTAATGCTTATCACAGTGACCACAAAAAAGATGGTGAGTGCCTTAAACTGGGTAAACTACTGGACTCTTTTTTAAGCACAAATAAGACCGTCTCTTCTCAGTCCCTCCAGCTACGTTTACATTGCGCTCTCTTGTGCAAGAACATACGCAAATGAGGTGTGGCGATATCGCCGCGCCTCTTGCATAGTTAACGAGCTGCCATTTTGCACACGGGGTTTTGCACAAGAAGGAGCAATCTATACTCCTTGTTGCGCAAAAACCCTCTCTCACGCAAGAGCCTTTCTGCCACTTATTTTCAGGCAGAATGGTTTTTGCGCAAAAATGGCGGCTCATTTGTATATGTTCTTGCACAAGACAGTACAATGTAGACGTAGCTTTCATGTGTAGTGAGAAAGAGCGAATGATGGGGAAAGCCAAGATGTAGTTGGGGGTGAGATTATGTTCATTATGAGAACAAGAAGCTTGAGTCTGATGCGGGAAGAGAAGAAAACTAACAGATGGAGTGATTGTGGGAAGGAATGACACATCAAGAATGAATGAGGAAGACTAGATATTGGACTTTGTTACAAAGGGTTCATTCTCCCTCAGAGAGTACTGAAAAAACAGCTTTTCCCCCAGAGATACTGGGAAATCAAGTGTAAAAATGTAATAAGAAAAGCAAAAAAAGATTTTGAGGGACAGCTAGCCAAAAACTCAAAAAGAAATAACAAAATGTTTTTTAAGTACATTAGAAGCAGGAAGCCTGCTAAAAAACCTGTGGGTCCCCTAGATGTTCGAACTATAAAAGGAGCAATCAAGGACAATAAAGCCATTGCGGAGAAACTAAATGATTTCTTTGCTTCAGTCTTCACGGCTGAGGACGTTGGGGAGATTCCCGAAACTGCACCGTCCTTTGTGGGTGATGAACCTGAGGAATTGTCCCGGATTGAAGTGTCATTAGAGGAGGTTTTGGAACAAATAGAAAAACTTAACGTTAACAAACTCCGGGACCAGATGGCATTCATCAAAGGGTTCTAAAAGAACTCAAATGGGAAATTGCTGAGCTATTATCTGTGGTTTGTAACCAATCCTTTAAATCGGCTTCCGTACCTAATGACTGGAAGGTAGCCAACATGCCACCAATATTTAAAAAGGGCTCTAGAGGCGATCCTGGCAATTACAGATCGGTAAGTCTAACTTCAGTACTGGGCAAATTAGTCGAAACAATAGTAAAGAATAAAATTGTGAAGCATGTAGAAGAACATAATTTGTTGGACAAAAGTCAACATGGTTTCTGTAAAGGGAAATCCTGTCTTACTAATCTATTGGAGTTCTTTGAAGGGGTTAACAAACATGCGGACAAGGGGGATCCAGTAGATATAGTATACTTGGATTTTCAGAAAGCCTTTGACAAGGTCCCTCACCAAAGGCTCTTGTGTAAATTACATGGCCATGGGATAAGAGGGAAGGTCCTTTCTTGGATTGAGAACTGGTTAAAAGACAGGAAACAAAGGGTAGGAATAAATGGTAAATTTTCAGATTGGAGAGGGGTAACTAGTGGTGTACCCCAAGGGTCAGTCCTGGGACCAATCCTTTTCAACTTATTCATAAATGATCTGGAGAAAGGGGTAAGCAGTGAGGTAGTAAAGTTTGCAGATGATACCAAACTGTTTAGGATAGTCAAGACAGAAGCAGACTGTGAGGGACTCCAAGAAGATCTCACCAAACTGAGTGACTGGGCAACAAAATGGCAAATGAAATTTAATGTGGATAAGTGTAAAGTAATGCACATCGGGAAAAATAACCCCAACTATACGTACAGTATGATGGGGGCTAATTTGGCTACAACAAATCAGGAAAGAGATCTTGGAGTTATCGTGGACAGTTCTCTGAAAACTTCCACACAGAGTGCAGCGGAGGTCAAAAAGGCAAATAAGATGCTAGGAATTATTAGGAAAGGGACAGAAAATAAGACAGAATATCTTACTGCCCCTGTATAAAACTATGGTACGCCCACATCTTGAATACTGTGTACAGATGTGGTCTCCTCACCTCAAAAAAGATATTTTGGCCTTGGAAAGGGTTCAGAAAAGGGCAACTAAAATGATTAGGGGTTTGGAACGGGTCCCATATGAGGAGAGGTTAAAGCGACTGGGACTTTTCAGTTTAGAAAAGAGGAGACTGAGGGGGGATATGATAGAGGTCTATAAAATCATGAGTGGTGTGGAGAGGGCTGATAAAGAAAAGTTATTTATTAGTTCCCATAATAGAAGAACTAGAGGACACCAAATGAAATTAATGGGTAGCAGGTTTAAAACTAATAAAAGAAAGTTCTTCTTCACACAGCGTGTAGTCAACCTGTGGAACTCCTTGCCAGAGGAGGCTGTGAAGGCTAGGACTATAATAGAGTTTAAAGATGGCAAGAGACAAATCGCTTGATCATTGTCTTCGGTCCACCCTCTCTGGGGCACTTGGTGCTGGCCACTGTCGGCAGACAGGATACTGGGCTAGAAGGACCTTTGGTCTGACCCACTACGGCCGTTCTTATGTTCTTATACTCATGAGCATTTGGACTCACTTATTGAAGTCTGCATTTCTCATCGTTAAGATTGTGTCATGGTTACTTGTAGTAAAAGTAACAACATTCACAGAAGGCTGTAAATAAAATACTAAAAATAATGGCGGTGAGATGACTGAAGCTTGAGTGGTGGGGGATGAGAGCTTAAGTGCTGTGGGGGCAGGAGAGATCTGCACTGAGAGCAGCAGGGGAGGGAACCTCTTCCAGCACTGCTGGAGAGCTGCAGGAGGAGAGTGCACCCACTCCCCGGGGCTGCGACCAAAAGCTTTAGTCCAAGACTGATACAAACCAACGTCACAGAGAGTTCTAGAAATCACAGAATCTGTGATTTCCAGGACACACCTTGCCCATTAGGCAAGTAGCCTATCAGGTTACAACCACAGGGTTCATTCTAGGGCACCAGCATATGTTCGCATCACTTCATTTTACTAACCAGAGAAGTAGTTGCCTGGACATCCATATACAATGGCCGGAGCGTGGATTCTTCACTAAGACCCTTTTCTACAAAGGGAAAAAAAACACAGGACAGTGATAGCTGCACAGCAAGCACAAAGTACAAAGAAGGACACAATGGGAGAGAGAGGAAAAAAGCAAAACACTGCAACAACAGAAGCTGAAAGTGGCTTCAGGAAAAGAACATCGGAGAAACCACAGTCAGCAAAGTACGTGTCCACTGAGAACACACAGCGCACTTGGCACGCTGAAGGAGAACTCATCACTGCCTGTGTTGCTAGGAAAGGGGAGGAAGACACCCGTGTTCTCTGGCAAGTGGCCACAGCCAGCCCAGGTCAACAGTGTACATGAAAGGAAACATCAGGAGTCCTGAAGCTTCACCACCCTCATCAGCCGGAGGTATTTCTATGGCCACCATCACCAACAATCTTCAGGACATTCACTACACTCAGGTGAGGCATGACCCATTTTACAGGAGGCAAGCGAGGCCCAGAGAACTCTGCCCACAGGCCAGGGTGCCAACGTTCCCCTGGCCCTGCCCCACGCCCTGCAGCCCCCTTCACTTGGTGGCTCGCTCACCCACCCTCACTGGGCTGGGCAGGGGCTTAGTGTGGGGGGGGCTCTAGGCTGGAAGCCTGAGAAGGGGCAGAGGCTGAGGCATGGGCAGGAGGCAGAGCTTGGGGTGCAGGGATCAGGGTTTGGGCACGGGAGGCGTGGGGGGGGGCTG